GGGGAGACAGAGGGGGGAGGACGGGGAGACAGAGAGGAGACGCCTCAGTCCCGTTCACTGCCTCTCACCTGGAAGAGAAAAATAAAAACACCGTCGGTCAGACTGTGATGTCAACCTGACGTGGTGCAGGTGGTTGAAGGCTCCGTGTTCTGTACCACATTTGTAGAGTTTGTTCAGTCTCATCTGGTCCAGTTGGCTGAGGTGTGACCTCTGACCCATCTTCCCTCCACTGCTCTTTGACTCCAGTGTGGGAAGGCCGTTTTTACTGAAGTAATATCTGTGATCAAAGCACAGTAAAATACAGCCAGTTACTGATCAGATGATGGGATGTCACTCAATCGTTCATGCACAAGGGAGGGGGAGTTGNGGGGGTGAGGGGGGAGGGGGCAGGACTCACTGGCCGTAGTGCATGATGGAGTCTTTGTCGTACATCAGATTCTGAGTGTCGCCTTCGTTCACCTTGAAGTTTTTTTCTTTCCCTTCAAAAACAGGAGTGAACTGAGCACCAGAATCAGAACCGACAGGTCCGTGGAGTTCCACTGGAGAACTCGATCAAACAGGTTCACCTTTGAACTATTCTATACTTCACTGTGTTTTTTCATTTCTGAATATCTCCCTAACACTGTGCTCTACGGTGGGTTCAGGGGCTCTCACCTGGTACGATGTTCTGCCACAGTATGTCGATGAAGTCGTTGCGGTCCTTGCGGGTGTGTTCGTGATGTAGACCCAGAGCGTGGATGAGCTCATGGCACAGATTTCCCACGCTGCACTTCTGTGCAAAGAACAGCGGCTGGCGCCCTCCCTGAGAGCCTATGTACGACGCACAACTGTACAAACACACACACACAATTTAATGTAGTTCACTCCCTCACCTGCAGGGGGCCAATGAAAGGGTTATTTAATTACTTTAATGTATGTGGCATCATTTTGAACTATTTTACAGTAATTCAACTTAAAGTAAAAAAAAAAAAAAAAAACTACATTCATGGTGAGTACAGTTATTATAGTACTGGTTATATTTGGGCTACTTTGTTTTTATTAGTTAGTATTTAAACATTTCACTGTGACATGGATCCATCCTTGGAAACTGTTGACAAAGCATGGACTAAAATGTGACTCTGACCCAGTAGTCTGAATTTTGCTGTGTTCTTACTGCCCTCTGCTGGATTTATGGGCTAATGACTGGCTCGTAGAGCAACAGTTGGACAGACTTTAAATTTGTTCAGTTTAAATACCCTGAAGTGGTATTTTCCTCTCACCCTAACCCAGCCATGATCATGATGTAGTTCATCTCTGTGGTGTGTTTCTTGAAGCGTATACAGGTGGCGCCAGATATCATGTCGAAGGCGCTCTGGATCTCTGACTTACGATGAGCTGTTTGAACAACAAAAATAAAATGTCCCCATTAATAATCGTAAAGCTTCAGTGCTGTGGTGAATAATGTGAAGAACCAAACGCAGCTCCTACCCAGTCCCTCTGCGATCTCAT